CGTTTTGATCTCACCATAGGGGCAGGTCCTAGTGATTGGAGAACTCTGATTTGAGGCATAAGATGCATTTCCCCTCCTTTAACCATCTTTTTTTTTTCTTAAGACTACTGTAAAAAGCCTCTTTTATAATTAATAGAGGTACGTATATTTCCCAGTAGTCTAACATATTTTTTATCAATATCACCTATTTAAAATTGCATCCAGAATAGCATTTTCATCGTCATCAGCCCTTTTATGTCCCAACTGCAGGGGCTTAAGTCTTCCTAATGGATTGTTAAGGAGGATGGACCATGACCCTCCACGCTGGCCCAATGCGGATTGGAGGGTAATAGCATGTTCATATTACGACTATTACGGTAATTATGTAAAATGTGGCAAAAATTAATTTTGCTCAGTGGTAAAATAACTAAATCGTGCCGTATTGAGTGGGAATGGGATACATATACAATTATTTATAAAAAAAAACCCGAAGTGACATTATTGAAAAAGCTCTACCAAAACAGAAACAATATGAAATAAAAAACAATATCTAGACGTAATAAATAAGGGTGGGCAGAAACTTGCATTCACGAAGAGTTCGTTACCGCGCGGCAACCGGGCCGGCCGCCGCCGTCGCGACAGGAACCGGCGAATCATTCACGGGCCGGACGCGCCGGGGACACCTCGCCGAAAAACTACCGACAATTGTTTTTCACGAAAAGTCGGTAAATAATTTATCGCCGTGGCTGCCGACGGTTATAAAAGACAACTGGGTATAGTTGATGATCATTAACGATATAATAATGATACCTATTTTCTTTATGATTAATTTTAAGAAAAGAGAATTAATAAGCTTTTGTTACTTCCCTTTTTTTTATGCGGATAATTATTATCCATAATACAATATTTGCTCTATTATGATCAAACATTTTATGAAAATAGAAACATGAATTTGATAATTGGCTCCATAAGAGAAATCTCCAAGACGTCTTAAAGTCACACATTTTCAAAACGATTTTACAACTATAGGTACTTTTAATTTTAACTATCTCAAAATATTTTCTATTACTGTAAAAACAGTTACAAAAGGTTCCGTACAAAGAATAAACAAATACATAAACCTTGTAGGACCACTTTGTCGACCGAAAGACAGACACTAGACAGTCATCAGAGCACTTAGTGTAAGTTTTTTTGACGTTTACGTTCACTGTCGATCGTGAGCGCGTTAAGATTTTAGTATGGAATCCGGTACAGCGCTCCTAGCGGTGACTACCAAGAACTACAAATCTCCATACAAATTCTAATGCGCTCACTAGTGAACGCGTTAGCGAAAAACTTACACTTACCACTCTGTATGCCATTTATTTCGGAAACGCTTGGAGATATCGAGTTGGAATCTCCACAGTTAGAACAGGGGCCTTCCCTATACACAGAATGGAAAAAAGAGAATCGGCCCAATGAGAATGGGTGGGTGTTAATTGTTAACCAACTTGGTACGAACCGTTGGAACCGGAAATCATCGCTTAAATTGCCCGAAATTAATCCGAATGAAAACGATTTAGCTTTATTATCTCGATATTTATGCTAATGAAATATGCTTAAAAAATCTCGAGCTGTTGACACCTAGGAATGGTGTTTAGCACTTTTCTTTAGAATAGAATAGTGTTTATTTAGCACCAAATTACAAGTACATCAATAGTTTGCTAATAGATCATTCAACATTAGGTACTAAAAAGGTCTCCGCTCAGCAATATGCCACAGTGTTTAAGCTAAGGCGCTGATTTTCAGCTTAGTAAATAAATAAGACCTTACCTTAAGTAAATAAATAAACAACCTAAGTAATATAAAATAAGAAGGAGCACCTATAGAATCACATACAATTACATGCAATTTACAAGACACACTTATAAAGTTATTGTACTTTACGATAAGTCATTGCCTTTGTTATTAAAGCACCAAACTCCTAAGTTTTCCTATATTTCTGTCAAACCGTCGATTACCACGAGGAGACGTTCCTTTCTGTCAGATTTAGAACGGAGTCTCGTCCTCGCCGACCGCGCCGCTCACGTCACCAAAACATTAATTTCATCCCAACAACCAGTACTATTTGTTTACGAATAGCCGTTATTTTTATATCAGGCCATATCTATGGTATGCATTACAACCTCTTAAATGCCTGAGTCGCAGCGAAGGCGAGCCATAGCAAGCTACGCAGACCCACTGCGGATTATTGGGTGTTAAAAACTACAAATATGACCAATGGCTAAGACAATTATTAGTCTAATTTGAAAGTCTATTGCCTATTTCAAAAGTATAGACATTGTGATATCGATTTATAAAATTACTTAACATCTTACGCTTTTCGAACGTGTGATTATTTGAATGACCATCTATCATAATAAAACTTAGTTAAACTCTAATTATGATTGCAGTTAGCATACAACTCTTCTATTTCACATTTCTCAGTAGTCTTTATTCACATTTGCGTCTAAAATTAACGTCAAATCAACGATATCGTTCAAAAAAACTTTCAACACATTTCAAATAGTTGTAGCATGAAGTTCGAGAATATCTTTCAAACGTGACATTGAAAGGAATTATGATGAATTTTGAAATTAGACAATTGGGCCCCAGAGCCATCAGCTAGGATAAGTAAGATTTATATAAAATGTATGATAGCTACAATAATAGATTTTGATCACCCATCCGATGACCGACCATTGTGAATAACAAACGCGCTAACCATACGCAAATGAGCTTCTTATAACTATCTATCCTACATAGGTAATTTATCAAAATTAATTAATAAGTTCCATTGGTAAGGGCTAGAAACATAAAGCAGAGCATTTTTCATCATTTACAGCGAAGTAAGCGGTTTATTTCGTTTGACGTGGCCGGTGCCCCGGCACTATATATTTCTGCTAACTAATAGTTTATTAGACACCCCCGATAAAAATTTATTTCTGTAGACACCCCACTTGAACCGACATTAAATTAGGAGAGCTCTCGAAAAATAAATACTCGACGAACTAGTTATTGAAGCATCGGAAAAATAACAGTTTCAGTCGAAAATAAAAAACATATTTACACTTTGTTAAATTTCTTAGAGATACATAGATAGCGTTATGCGTGCACTAGCATATAGAACAGGATAAATTATAAGCGGGCTCTCGTACAAAAACCTTTAAACGAAACCCTTCATGCACGAGTCCGACTCAGACTTAACCGTTTTTTTAGTGTTGGATAATGTAATTGGCTTTCCCTGAATCACTGAAAATGTATTTAATTGTACGTTGTTTCAATTTGAATGTGAACCCAAAGTAATATTTGCTTTTCTTATTAAAAAAAAACGAATTAAAAAAGATTTTATTTTTGATTTTTTGTTAAACATTTTAATTGTTGACCTACCTAAGAAATACACTTAGATAAAATTAGCAGTTCGTTGGCCTGTTGTATAATTGCGACAAAATGTGCGTCTTCAGTTTCCACTGGACGCATTCGTGGGACATTCAACTTTAGAGAATGCATACGACTGAGTTTTGGCAGCATGCCCTCCTTGATGGCACGATAACAACTCTAATTCCAGTGTTTCTGTTCCGCTGCATTATTTTGAAACTATTTTTATTAGAGGTGAAAATTCGGTCAAGAGCGATTTGGGACAAATGAATGACCATAATAAAAACTAAATGGGTTTATGCAATTAATGGACTCGATTAATGAATATACATTTTTATATACGGAAGTAAGGACGTTTCTTCGTTATTTAGTGGCGTAAAAACTGCCGTGTAGCACGAATCTACAGTACACTTACCTACGACTAAAGTATTGAATTAACTTTCGAAAGTCACTTCTATACACATACTTCTATAATCAGTTGATAGTTACAAGATATGATGTGCACCGCCCTAACATCATCGAATAGATACACAAGTGGCAATAAATCCTAAGACCAACTCTTCATTTCTTCGCCTTTCTTTTTCTTCATTGATATAGCTATAATATTGTGAAAGACTACCCGAGAGGTAACGCCTGATCCTCAGGATATCAGCCATACATAGAATCGCTCTAAATTTTCACAATGTAACTAAACCATTTAAAATTACTAGCACTAAAATCGAAAAATAATGGATTATCCCATAGAAGTAAATAAGTAAGCCTATTATTCATAGTTTTTCCTATTGAAATCCCAAGGAATTTGCTGGTCAAAATTCTTAAATTTTTGCAATAAAAAATAGGAACTATACCGCTATATAATAATCAGCTTAACCAGATAGGAGTATCACAAATTCCAACTTTGAACTACAGAAAATAGTTCAAAAGACATTGTCAAGCGAACGTATGCAAATTGATACTCAACTGATAACCAGACTCTGTTGTTTAATATTTAATAACGTAATAAGCTTAAGTTGATTGCTAGAACCATACCAGAACTTTATCTGCGGGCGTCAAAAGAAACAGAACAACAATGCTACTGTTTAGAACAAATAATCATCAGACGACAGATAACGTATCCCGCATATTGTTCATAATTAAATTATCACTTAATTCATTGTTAGTTAACACATTGTTTGATACAACATCGTTAGTAGATTACACTATAATTTAGAATATTCGGAAACTGTAGAAAAAATACTTATAGAAATTATTTTTATAGATATAGGAGTGAAATTTTGAGTCCACATTAAGTCAATAATCTTCTTAATATATAATGTCTCATGTACTAAACTCACTGTAATCATGACAAAGCAGAAAATAATCTTATTACCTGAGATTTCGTAAAGTAATGCTGTCAATTCTTCAAGGCATCTTCCTATTTCATACGGCTGCTCACTTTTTTTTACTGTAAAGCTCTGAAGGAAAACCTCTAAGTACGATTCGTGGAAAAAAATCCACTGAATACCTAAATAGTTCGTGAAGTGTCAATCTAGTTTCGTAAAACGTAAACAAATGCTTAGTATAAGTGGCAGTTTATTTTCGGGTCAAAATGTACCGAGTTCCAGTGGAGTTGTGATCGTTGCGAGATGCTGACGTACATTGGTGTGCTCGCTTTAGCTGCGTGCGCTGGAGCTATAACGCGAGACCAGTTCTACCCTTACGGTCATGGACTGGACCAGCGCCTGCCTAAGGGCAGCCAGGTGGCATCACCTGAAGTGCCTTTACAAGTTCCCGTTGTGTTCTACGGGGAGACATATGACAGTATTTATGTGAGTTAACTTTTTTATAATTTTCTAATATTTGTTTTAATAATACATAATAAAAAACAATATCGCTTACCGCTGTCTGTACGCTCAGATCTTTAAAACTACACAATGGATTTTGATGCAGTTTTTTTATGTATAATAACACAGGTCCACGTGGGCGAAGCTAATTTTAAGTAAAATTATCCTTGCGTCTTAAAAGACAAGAAAGAATCAACTTTTACAGCAAAAGAGGATAATTTGTATACACTCTTCTATCTTAATAATATCAACTTAATTAAAGGAAACCTTTCAGTTGAATCCAGTTGAAACATTGGATACAACACAACAAGAACTCTGAGAAGGGTTGAAAAAGAAATCAGGATAATGCATCTATTAAATTTAACAAAAAGACACTACGTAATTATTAAGTTATTAGGGGTTTTGATCTTGAACATTTATAACAAGTGTTTAATATATTTTCAGTAATTAAAACATCGCAGGATATCCGTTAAATTAAATCCTTTGAGAGCTCATTAATCTCAAAATATAATATTATTAACAAATTCCTACGACTTCCTGTAGGAACTGTGCAAGTTTTTTTACTTTCTACACACAATATTGAAACACATTGGTAAAATCAATGCTTATGAATGATAAATATTCTTGTACCGCCAGAACAACATAATGATAATAATTTGGGTAAAAATTAATTTCCATCGCTTAAATTTTTGATTTGGCATAAATATAGTCATTGTAACTGCTATTTCATTATCATACCCCAGTAAAATCAGATCAATTCCATCTCAGAGAAGCGGTGAAAATGATCCTCACATTCTCCTGACATTTTCTTTTACCTTATATCACTTAAGGATCTTCGCATTATGCCCATCTACGTCTTTATTAGTTACTAGCTGTTATCCCGCGACGATGCACGCGTAATTTATAGCCTATGTCAACCGCGTCCGCACATGATGTAAAAAATCAGTTCAGTAGTTTCGGAGCCTATATAATGCAAACAAACAAACGATCAGTGGCGTAACTATAGGGTGGCGAGGCTGGCCAAATGCCACGGGGTCCCGGCCCAAAAAGGCTCCAACCCAAGAGGCCGTTATCTCAGAAATATTTTTTTAATATTGTATGTACCTGAGTATTTTATTTTACTTGAAAAGTATATATTCTCTTTTAAGTTCTGCTTAAAATTCATTAAAGTGAGACAACTAATTTTTGAACGCATTCCTTGGTCCTACATTTTTATCGCGGTACGTTGGCAGCACGGATGTGATGAATCTGCAAAATGAATCTAGTAGCAAAGTAGAGGTTATGGTGAGAGTTAGATATTAAAATGTCTAGTCCATGCTCTTGAAAATAAAATTGTTATAAGTGTTGGATAACTACTTTTCTTCGTAGTTTATTAAAATTATAGTAAATAAAACGTGACTATTTTACTGACAGGGCCCCATCAAAATTTGCCACAGGCCCCAGACGGTATAGTTACGCCACTGCAAACAATCATGCAAATAAATAAACATACAAATAAACAATCACATTTTTACTTCTTTATAATATTAGTAAAGATGTCAACTCTGTTTGATATAGCCGTAGGTGAAAGTTTTTAAAATCGGTCCATTTATTATGGAACCTTTTCGAAACATACAAACAAGCAAATATAAGAAACATTATAATATTTATATTATTAGTATAGATGAACTTATTTCTTCCTTTTAATTTCTGCATACATTTTCCCCGTTCACATAATATTTTAAAGGGAATGCATAATGTTATTTGCCCTATTTGTGTAAACATTATTTATCATTAGACTAAATCCACAACACATAATTGGTACACAATATTATTTGCAAATGATACGAGATAGTCGGTGCATCGCAGACGAACGGAAGTGTAGTGGGCGCGCTGACACACGCGGTCACTGACTGCATTTCAAATAATGTCATTTCATATAATTTACACAACCATGAAAGTCATAAGACTTGACTGCATTATAGAGAACATATAAATCAAATAAATATAAGAAATAAAATACAAAAATAACTCAGAAACTGCCGCGAAATTATTAAATATAAAAAATTTATAATGAAAAAACTAAATGACAGTCAATATTCTTACTGGTATAATATAATAGTTGTTGCGAACTCTTTGATAAAATGTATTTGACCTTTTTTAATTATTTATCTTTATACATATGTCATTATGTTTTTAAAATAAATAAATTAGTGTCTCTGTCAAACCAACCGCAGCGGGTCGTTTCATTGCTCCCTAGTAGCTATCCTAAATTTTTTATAATAGTATTTAATAGACTATTAACTGAATAGTACTACTAATTAGAAATTTTCTGTACATTATCGCCAACAGTTAGGCAGAGTCATGACCTCTTCGTCGAAAAAAGATATTTATCGTTTGGTCACCAGTCAATTTTAATTACCTATCGTACAGATAATATGTAACTATTTTAATAAACATAGCAAGATAGGCAAAGCAAAAAATATTAATGGTTCAAAGCGAAGTTAACTTAATGATTGTTACATAAAAATAATTCATGAATAATTATTGTAATAATAAAACTGAAGAGTTTGTTTGTTTGGTTGAACTCTATAATATTAGGAATATTAGGAATAATTGAATAGTCCATTTATCAAATGTTACACTTTTTGAGAGTTTTCCTCGCGTGCGCTGTATAAAATTATGCATAGGTAACGCAAAAATCATGTATTACGAAATTGATCAGCTTTAAAAGTTCTAAAAAAAGCCAGCGACAGCATCAGCAGCACCTTTTATCTTATCCCGAAATATTACCCAAAGCATATCTATCTTTTATTTTATCCCAAAAATGGGAGCGGAAGTTCATATAGGGCATAAAACGTAACCATAGTAACCATTCTTTTTCAATTTGTCATTGTAATTATATCCATTTTTAAATTATTGAAGCTTTACACAGGATTAAATACTTTTTTGAATAATTCAATTGGCTAGAATCGTGTCATTTATATTAAATGCATGCATATGTTATCTTGGTAAAATCGATTGGTACATACGTAAATCACGCCGATAAAAAGGGGGAAAATAAAATCTTAAAAAAAAAAGATTTCCTCCTCCAACCATTGGAGTTGAGCTGGGTTTTCTGTAGTTTATAAAATAATAATCGTCCCACTACAATGTTTCTTATAAAAATTAACTACTCTTAAGAATGCTTATTATTGAAGAATGCCTAAGAAATCCACTTTGTCCCCACTCCAAGATGGGACTCGAACCCACGCCCTTTCGCAAGATTCTAAGTGAATCGCAAACTATGTAGCATGAAATCCATGCAAAGTCATTTAGCGCACTTTATATATATTGCAGTATTTTAAATTAACAATTAATCAATTTCAAATTAGAATATCGATGCCAACAATTAAGTGCATGGGTAATTTCTCTATTCAATTATGTAAAAAAAAAATATGTCATATCTACATTATATTGAAATGACACCAAAATTGATCTTAGTATTCGCCTGCGTGATATGTAGCTTCTCGTCTTCGCTTCTCAGAGATTTTTTTTAATCTATCAAATAGTTTCAAAGGCAATGCAAAAAATAAAATGTTACCTTTTTATAATATTAAACTATAGAAGTAACCGAACATCGTTTATGAATAGTATTCATTTGTATTATTTTGCTTAAATTAAAAGAAAGAGCAAGTGAACCAACAAAAAATTGACATGTGACAAGACAGCGGCGTATTGTTTTCTCAATTCTTGTTTATTTCCAAGTAAACTATTCTTATGTTATGACTTTAATAATTTAACTGTGTTCTTGAACATCGTCCAGGGTTTTTACCATGAGCTCCCTAATGTCATTCAAAGGTCATTGTTGGACTGAGATAATGTGACACAGCGTTAAGAATTAAACTTCTATTAACAATAGAATATACTTCTGGAAATAATTTGTCATTGCTATAACACAACTACGCAGTTTCATTTTGATATTTATTGTTTACTTTTTAAATCTATAATCATTTCTTAATTTCATCATAGTTCACATGGCATAATCTGTTCTTTTCTTCACACAGGTAAACAACTTTGGTGTTTTATCATTCAGATCCGACATCCCGACATTCCTCAACACAGAATTCCCATTACCTTACCCATCTATAGCGGCCTTTTACACCAACGTGGACACTACAGATTCCGGAACCGTCTACTACAGGGAGACTAACGATACCTATGCCATACTAAAAGCAGAAGAAGCTGTCCAAAACAACTTCCTAAACTACTTTGACTTCCGACCAACGAGCGTGTTTATCGCTACCTGGGTGGACGTGACTTATAAAAGCCGTCAACAACAAGATCGTAAAAACAGTTTCCAAGTTGTTATCATTAGCAATGGCACAGAAAGCTTCGTAGAGTTATTGTACCCCGAAAGGGAGATCCAATGGATCCAGAAAGAAACACATGGATCCACTCTTCCTGAAGCGAAGGCTCAAGCTGGCTTTATTGCCGAGGACGGCCGTGTTTATACACTCAGAGGCTCGGGTAGCCAGCAAATTCGCAATATCGTTACGTAAGTATTAACTTCACTGATTTATATTTGCCAAAATAATAATAAAAAAACTTATGTGAGTTAATACATTAAAGAATATAGACAATACACCAGTCATTCTCAATTGTTTATTCAACGTCATTTATTCAGCGTTATGCAATCTTTTAAATATTTCTTTTATTATTTTCAGGTGGTCGAATACACACGAGCCGGGCAAATACGTATTCCGCGTAGGAGACATACCGTACGATGGAAATATCGTAGTCCCCGATCAATATAACGAAGACGAGCTAGAAGTGGAAGAAGAATCCAGAACCTGCGCTCAGAGCGGCCTCAGTGTATGTCATGTAAACGCACGCTGCGTTGATTACCAAGCTGGTATATGCTGCAAATGTAACGAGGAATCTTATGGCAACGGAAAGTCCTGCATCAAGAAGGATGAACCCCTCAGAGTCCACGGCAAAATCAACGGAGTTCTCAATAATATCAATTTGAACGAAGTTGACATTCAAGCTTATGTAGTCGTAGCAGACGGCAGAGCATACACTGCTTTGTCCTTAGTCCCGACAAATTTAGGTAGTAGCCTACGACTACTCAATGTACTCGGCGGTGTTATCGGCTGGCTATTTGCAAAACCTACAGGTTCTGCTAAAAATGGATATCAACTAACCGGAGGTGTTTTTAATCACACTGCTGACATTTATTTCCCATTAACAAAAGACAGAGTTGTCATAAATCAAGAATTTTTAGGACATGACGTTTTCGATCAAATCACTTTAGAAACTGATATTCGAGGTACATTGCCATATTTATCGAATGGAGCTAAACTTGATATATCAGAATTTGAAGGAAAAGTTGGAACAAAGCTTCACATATCAGAATTCGAACAACAATTTACAAAAGTTGAACCAGGACTCTTCAGATCCGAATCTTCACGTACATTTATAAATAAGAACACAGGCGAAAAATATCAAGAAATTATATCGCAAACCTTTACTTTCAATGCAGCTTGTCGCTATGCTCCTAACACCGAAGAAGATGAACTCCCAGTAACCTTAAAAGTATCTAAAAATTACCTTGGTTATGAAGCCAAGGATAACATAGTAAGATACGGATCTAGTAACAAAATCTCACCTCTCGGACAAGATCCATGCAAAGAAGGACGTAATAACTGTGGAGCGGATAGCTCTTGCGTTGTTGAAGGCAATTCTTATACCTGTATCTGCCAAAATGGTTTCACAAATATTTATCATCAAAATAATTCAGTATGCGTCGATATAGACGAGTGTGAAGCTGGCACACATAACTGCGACATTAACTCCGATTGTTACAACCATCAAGGTGGATTCGAGTGCAGATGTCGGCACGGTTTTGAAATGAATGGCAACACATGTCGTCGTACAAAGCGGTGCACTAGCAAAACCTGTGGCTTTAATTCCCGGTGTGTTGAAAATGATGGAAAGGAACCAACGTGTGTTTGCCATAGCGGATATGTCTATAACGGAGAAAGTTGTGATAGAGTTAATGATGACTCTTGCAGTTACTGTCATCAACAAGCTTCTTGCATATATGCCGAAACTTCTAACATGTACTATTGTCAATGTAACGCTGGTTATACTGGTAACGGATATCAATGTGAAGAAGAGACAAGACAAACCTCTTTTTCTCAGCGACCAACTTATGAGCGACCGAGTTCTAGACGACCATTTTACGACAGACCGACTAAGAGACCAACTCCCGAATCACAATTCCCAGAATCACCCGCTATTGAGCCACAATCGACTACAGAATATTCATCAGATCTCTTTCCTAGTCCCACGCCTTCCTATGAAAGAAGCACTCGAGAAGCCGAATATAACGATTCGATAGTTTTACCTCAATGTGATGCATACAGATGCGTCTGTCCATATGGCTACTCAAGCTATAGAGACGACAGAAATAATGACTTATGCCGCCTAGACAGCTATTCAAGTTCAACTTCGGAGCCGTATTCTGATAGCAACGATACCTCAAGTAAGGATACTTTATGATAGTCCTTTTCAATCATGAATATAAGCATGGGTTAAATTACCTATAATTATGTGGTGTAAACAAATACTAATATGAAAACGTGTGGGTAATATATATTTATATTTTAGATAATTATATATATTTTATATATTCACTATAGAAGCTACTGAAGGGTAGAATAAAGCAAACATTATCATTAATATTAAAATTTATTTCATAGCAAGCTGCATGTATAAAATCTAAATAACTTAATTCTATTGTTTCAATACTACTAACTTATTAATCGTTAACTCATATAACGCTTTTGTAGCCAGTTACGTTACATTCGCCTGTGCCCATCAGAATTCGAAACCTTTTGTTACTCATCATCAAATCTGAGTCAATCATCCACTCTTATTCCAATGCGAGCCATTTCATTAAAAAATTACCTTCAAACTTTCTATTTTTGTTTATTATCTTCATCGGTAATGAATTCAATTGTTTGCTCCCATTTCTATCATAAGCAGTACATTTGCTAACCATTACCACTACATTATGTGCAGTTGATAATGAATTTCGGTTTAATAGGTGAATGAATCCGTGAAGGCAGTACTTCGCCATCGCCATCGGTCCGTCGTGTAAGAGCGTTATCTCCGTCCAAATTATTTGTATAACTATTCATTACGATATACTTAACTCCAATAAATTTTAAGACAATATTGATGTTTTTTTATCCTTTACACAAAATTTTGTTTTTACCGTAATACACATTTTGACTCAGATTTGTTGAAAAAGTAAGACTCCTTCTGGACCATATCCAGAATCAACGGTAGGGCACTAATTATGTTATACGGAACTATCTTAAATTTTGCACTAACATGTTATTACTCAATATATAAACATTTTTATTGATTCTAAGCATGATGCATGAGCATGATTATATTATAGTTTAGAATAAGAAACAGTAAGCACAAAAGAACAATGAAAAAATAGAAAAACACACCTATAAGAATGCACATCAAAAGTTCAAAGACTACGAGACAAGGCCAGTCAATAATACAGAAACAGACCATAGCGACCATATTTATTAACCGCAAAATAAGCTTTTAAAATGTATATTCCCTATTTTATGCACCCTCTTAATCAGCATTGAACGTATTGAATATATTATCAAATAAACATTACTAGACAAAATAAAGAGAAATGATAGGTCTAATGATATGTTGTATTTTGTAACTGCTGCTAGAAGGCCACAGAGAGCAGAAGCAAAGTCAGTAATAAAAATCACAATTTCGCTTGCCTGTAAAACATGATTTCAAAAAGGGATAAATTTTCAAAATCAACCCTTTTCAAATAGCAACCCTATTGCACTCTTTTAGGGGTAGAATTTCCTCAAACAGAAATATGTTTTCACTCATTTTTAGCTCGTATTTTAAAATTACAATTTCATGTTTCCAATTTGATAACTAACGGAGTTCCATACAAATTTTCAAACCCTATTTCAGTTATTAGGAATTGGATATCAAATATTCCTTCCTTGATGAGTGTTTTCTCCTCAAAATAACTCTACTGACTAAATATCATGGTTTTGAGACAATAGTTCAAGCTCGGCGATGATGAATTAGGATAAGTTCCTTTTAACTTATGATAAAACAAAGTCGCTTCCCGCTGTATGAACATACAGCAGATAAGATCTTTGAAACTACAAAACGGTGTTTAACAACAGATAAAGTGATTTAAAAGGAAGTTATGTATGTATAATTCTGGACCACGCCGGTGAAACCTCTGGCTAGTTTATAAATATAAGATTCAGCGATTTAAATAAACCTTATGTTTTGAAACCTCGAGTAATAATCTGGCCTCAATAGCAATCTGGCCAAATCAAATATTTATAATTGTGAAACTGTGCTATCTAAAAACTTCCACATTTAGTCACTGTATATAAATGCTCGTGCACAAGCGGCAATAACTCTCGTAACCCTACACTCTACATGTGGTATACCCCTATACGAAGAATCCTCAGGATTTGTTAGACCTAACAGTAACCACCGAGTGCTGGTGGACTCTTGTGCATGTGCATTTGATTGCGGATGGGCAGAAGTTACACAACCGATCTTGCATATACTGAGTATAGAATTCGTTAGATAGTATCACATTTAATAACAATGGACTTCCTCAGGATAACGCCTGATTCTTCCAAATGTTTTAATGATTTTTACAGTGTTTTACATTTTACATTTCTTAGTTGGCGCTAATAATTCAACTTGATTTTATGCGAAGTTTAATTCTCAGTTAAATACTATAAGGCATATCATAGGGCTTACATTCGAGAAGTTATTTGCCCTAGTCGACAAGGCACGCTTGTGGGTTTATGAAATGCGTAAAGGACCATTATTATGCATGCTGCATGCGCAGCGCTATACAGTTTAATATCATTAATGTTATCTCGTCTTCAGAGAATTACTGAATGCTTTATCTTTATCGAAAAGTGAAAATGAGCCAGAAACTAATTTGTCCTTTGATGTGAAAAAATACATTACTATGACTATTGCAATTAATCAATTTTGAATTCATATTACCACATTTATAAATATATTTAGAGACAAATGTTTAAAGTGTTATGACTGTTATTTAATTTGAGTGGCATGATTACTTAAGTAGCCCCAGAGACATCCTAGTTTTACACTATTTGAAATGTTTTTTTAGTCGCTTAAATTTAACACAAAAAAAAATATTTTAGCTTCTCCAGACATATTGATATGTTAGCTATAAATATTTCAATCTGCCTTTATTAGACTCACTCACTTTACATAACGTAATAGTTAATGATACATAATATTTAATAATGTAATATGATGAAATAGACTAGAGATAATATAATTTTTATTTTTTAGTAGTAACAATTGGAGTTTCGGTTATGCCTTAAGATAATTTACATAATAGGTAAAAACCTCTTAAACAAATAGAACTAAAATAAACAAATCCTAAAACAATATTGGTCCTTTGAAAACGTAACTTTCGAAAAAAATATTGTAGATTTATTTTTCAATTTCAGTCACATGCTACAGTGATGCAGATTGTCCACCAAACGCTGCATGCATTTACCAACCAGCTGACGCTAACGCTCAATACGGACATTGTGTATGTCCAGAGGGCTATGAAGGAGATGGTTTGGAATGTATCGAACGAACCGGATCTGTGTGCTCCTGCGGTTCCAACGCCCATTGCATCGACACTGCCGCTGGAGATTTCCTTTGTATTTGCGATTCAGGTTACCACGGCGACGGTTATACATGCCGTCCAAATTTTAGCTGTACCACTAGTTCAGACTGCGAATATAATGCCGAATGCAGACCAGATCCCACAAGTAGCGAATACGTGTGCCAATGTACAGAAGGATATATTAGAGACGAAAACGACGCCTGCATACGTGACGGTCAACTCTGCAACGGAGCAGTATGTCCTGAACATGCTTCTTGTCTTTACGATGAAACAGAACAAGTGAGCTATTGTCAATGTGACCCGGGATACGAAGGTGATGGTATCTTACAGTGTGTACTTCAAGGACTTTCGTGTGACATAAACAACGACTGCAGTCCTGATGCCGTGTGCACTCCTTACGAAAACTCCTACCAATGTATTTGTAAAGAAGGATTCACTGGAGACGGCTACTCTTGTACACAAGAAGTGAACTGCAAAACAAATCCTTACTTGTGCAACGCTCACGCATCATGTTTGAAACGTAGTGATGTATACGTTTGTGAATGTAACACTGGTTATAATGGTAATGGAAGCTATTGCGATATAAATCCAAGACAAGCTGGTAGCTTCTTAGTTGCCAGTGATGGTGCTTCCGTATACAGAGTACCGTTCAGAACTAGCCCGAGAGAGTTTGCGACGCCTATCAATAGTGCAATTTATCAGATAGCTGTTGGTGTTGATGTAGATTGCTTGACTGGCAGAATATATTGGGGAGATGTTGTAGGAAACTCTATTAAAAGTTCTGGTTATGATGGTTCTGCATATGATCAATTTTTATCAGCCGGTGAGTTTCCCTATTTATTTTTTATTTTCACAACAGTTAAAAATTTGAACCAAAAAAGTAACCAAATATTACATCTTTTACATAGTTATTATATTTGATTAATTTTGCATTCACAATGCTATTCTGAAAAATATTCTTCACGAACTAACATGGGACTCAAGCCATGACCTTTCGCAATCTGGGGACTGCTCTAAACACTGAGCTAACCAGGACCTAATAAGACTGACGAAGAGCTCTAGGGGCAAAATAGATGTTTTAAGCATTTTTCATTATGAATATTTTACATAGGTTCACATATTTTCACATTTGAAAAGCTTCTTTCTGTTTTTCAGATGTGAAATCACCAGAAGGCCTGTCCGTTGATTGGTCTGGCAGAAACGTGTTTTGGACGGATTCTAAGAAATATACTATAGAGGTAGCCAACGTTGACACAAAGGTCAGAAAAGTATTGTTCTCTGGAGATGGAATATCCAACCCTAGAGGTATTGCAGTCCATCCACAAAGAGGGTAAGTTAACTTAGAAAAATAAAAATAGTTTTTATTAAAAGTACTAATTAATCATGTGGCAATATTGAAAAAGCGATTGTTTAACAAAAATTCATAAATATAAGCAAGTTAAGCCATTGGTCCTAGCTACATTTGCATCCCTCCGCATGGTGGATTAGTACCCGAAGAAGGAGATGCGGAGGTCCCTAGCAATAGAAGTATTAATAGATTAACGATGGTTATTAGCTGTAACTTTTATCATAGATCACGTTCTTAAGTTCAAAACTTATAACTCAGACACAACTGGACACAACCTTAGTAATAAAATGATAAAGATCGGTATGAATCTGGAAAAGGACAGTGTTGTTTCTGGGGCATTGGAGCATATTCTTTGTTCCTAATGGAAATGGAACACTTATCTTGTTTGTTAATGTAAATAATAAATACATTTACGTGTATCACAACTATATAGTTTTGGAATTAAAACTCATTACATCAAAAAACGAGAGAGATGATTATAATTATAATTTTATTAATTAATCCATGTTCTATTTATAGAAAAATCTTTTGGTCTGATTGGAACCGTGCTGGGCCAAAGATCGAGTGGGCCAGCATGGATGGATCTGAACGCGGTATATTCTTAGACTCCTCTGAAGTCCAGCTTCCCAACTCTCTGGCTATCGACTGGACTCGCGACCGGCTCTGCTATGCTGACGCTGGACTTCACAGCATCAAATGCGTAAACATCGATACACGAGAAAAAGAAACTATTGCGACCAACTGTACTTACCCATTCGGTTTAGCGATAAATGGGAATAAATTCTACTGGAGCGATTGGAAAACGTAAGCGCAAAATATCGATATTTTTATTACATTTTACATTCACAATGCTATACTGAAAAATATTGGTAATGAAAAATGGTTTAAAAATCCACTTATATTTTTGTTAACTCAAAACGTGTTTGCATACGTTCTTGTTTCCATTTCAATAAGTTTTTTTTTTTTAATATTTTAGCACTAAAATGACAATGGCCATGTAAATTTACAAGTAACTTACAAAAAACAAAATTAAAATAAAATTATATTTTTACAGGCTCAAAATCGAATACATCGATAGCAGCACACGGCAAAAGGGTCAAGTGCCGATTTCTACCGCATCAAGGAGACTGTACGGAGTGGCCGCTTATCCTGAGGCTTGCCCACAGTTAGGCAACGTATGCCAACACCGGAATGGCAACTGTGACGTAACACAATTGTGTCTGCCCGATGGCAGGGGCAGCCGGACTTGCGCAGACGGCGTGAGTGGAAACTGATCAACTTAATAAGTTTTCTTTTTACCGAAGATGGTCTTATATAGTACTATAAAAGGCCGAAAAGTAAATTTAGAAAAATTACCTCATAAAAAGTCTAGAATCATCTAAAACTTCGTTTTCGAACATCCAGGTTAGCTCTTGTTATCAATATCAGGAACCAGGTTTCCTTTAGCGATCTTTTGGTTTTTTCTTCAATTTATTATATTTTTATTGCTCTGTGCGCGTACCATGATAAACACGAGAACGTTGTGTCTACACACCCAAATGTCACTTTTCCCGCCATTTCGGCGCCGAAAAGAGACATTTGATGTAGACGTTCTCGAGACAAAGCGTTTCTCAAGTCCATCGTACTATGCGTACTAGTCAACTCCAGCACGTGTAGCATGACAAACTCGAAAAACGCTTTGTCTACACCCAAATGTCACTTTTCGCGGGTGCGCTCATACAACATCTCACTCTAGATGAGTGTAGATAAAACGTTCTCGAGTTCGTCATGCTACGCGTGCAGCTCTGGAAGATCTCAAATGAGAGAATGGTAAGAAACGCTATAATTAAAAACGTTATTAGCTGTTTGATAAAACAAACGAAACTTTTTAAGGGATATATTATGTAAAAAAGATCCTCTACTTTAATCCTAGTTCTAGATCAGTACAATTGATTATATAAATAAATAAATCAAAAGTTTCAATAGCTGTCTCCAAAGTAGACTATGTAGTCCAGTAGATGAAGACAAAAAACGGTAATTTTTCCAAGTAGCACGGATTTCCATAAAATTTGGAATAGGGTTCTACTTATCCTTTACTTCAAAGGAGCCCATACGCAGGAGGTTGCTTTTACCTTGGAAATGAATGGACCTTCTTGGTGGTGCCAAATGTTAGGCTGGAAATACGTAGGAGCATAATAAGAAAAGGATAGAATTCTTGAATGAAAGTAACCAGCACTGCATTGGCACTTGCCCCACTTTGCAGTAGAAGCTGAGAAGAACCTAATTATTTTTCTTTTAATCCGAGGGATCCATAATAAAATATTTAACATTTTACTGTATAATAAATCACCTACACTTATGTTAAAGATAGATAGATAAACAAATACAAGTACTTATATGGTGTCTGTTACAAATCTCAGTTACTTTACAACGAGAAATAAATAATTTGTTTCAATTAATGTAAGTTATTGATATAATAAAGTTACTTATTTAATTATTAAAATAATTTGGGTTTTTATTTACCAATCCTTTAATTATAGTAAGATAAGTAAGTGATTGACTGAACTGTAATCTGCAGGCATATTCTTGAACGCAATGTCAATTTCAATCCAATCCAATGGTGATCTCAATTTTCATCAAATCTTAATTCGTATTCGTGAAACATAGACTCAATACTTGCTCAAAATCAATGAAGAAGTATTTAAAAAAAAAGCACCTCCACTAGATAGCGACTCTAGCAAAAGTTGATTTTTGCAGGAAATGAATGGACCAAAATGAGTTGTTTATTGAGTTTTGAAAAGTAATTAACTTTTAAACTTGAAAGAAAACCGGAAAGGTTGTCATGGAAAAATCAAGAACGTACCGTAACGACATCTAGTTTGATTTTGGGAACTAATGCTTTTTTTTTATACTTCCTCATTGGTTTATTCAATAACCACACGATATTCAGCAAATTGATGGTAGTGCGCCAAATCAAGAGTACTAAACGTCAGAAGTGCAAGGTAGAATGTAGAAATTGTGCGGACATTGTATGATCAAATGTGCAATGTGGTGACGTGGGAATGGTATATATTTTTTTTGTTTTATTGTTACAGCAACTAGTTGTCTCCCAGTTGCTGCTATATACGTTATTGCTATTGCTGGTGTATTGCTTGTCCGCTGGGAACTCGGGACCTTTTTTTTTTATTTCTCCATTATTATTGAAGGGGTTAGAAATTAACTCATCAGTCTGCCTAGAACGTCTTGATAAGGGAGAAGTAGCTGCACTTTAGAGAGCTTCGGGCGCTACCGTTGATCTGTATGAGATTCTTCTGCTACCAATCCTTTTCTGACAACTTCCTTCTCGTGAGAGTGGAGTTAAGGTGCATAGGCTAGAAACTACGTATACTGGTGTTCTTGTATTGCGCATGACACCCCCTTGAACCCCTTACGAAAAAGAATATAATAAAAAAACCATAATCTACGAACACATGATACTCGGTATAGATTTACCAACACCATCGAGACAAACCAAAAACATTTCAAATTTAAATAAAGTATAATTAAAACAAAATAAATAGTTCAAATAAATGAACAAAAAGGTTTAAGTTCGAATTGAATAACTGTAGTTAATATTTTATCTACCTCCAAATGTAGCTTGTTGTAGATAATGATACTACACAACCTCAGACCCAAAAATCTTCAGTGCGTCCAAATTTAAGAGTAAGCGAGCTAGCAAATATCAGAGCATTTTGTGATAATACGCATAGACCAGGCCAAAGCGAATGTGTATGATCTGAAAGCGAGCAATCTTATTTCACATTTTTTTTTATTAATGAATAAAAAATAAAATAGCTCGGTGGCGTAGTGGATAAACGCCGCGACCTACGATCGTTGTCGTTAAGAAACTTTCGCAAGGGTCGATGACGGGATGGATGACCAAAAAAAATATTATCTCGAGCTATTCCGTGCTTCGGAAGGCACGTTAAACCGTTGGTCACGGCTGCATTTGCTATCGTTAATACCCTCCAATCCGCACTGGGCTAGCGCGGAGGGTCATGGCCCATCCTCCATAAGGAAGGCCTGAGCCCCTGCAGTGGGGACGTCAAAGAACTCATGATGATGATGATGTATGAATAATATGCAACATTCTTAAGAACCATCGACTTGACTCATTTCTCAGGCAATTGTATTAAATCGTCATGTATTAAACTTGATAAAGGGTAAAACTTGTAGCTATCAAGAAGAATAGGCATAATAAGAATCTCCATAGTAAATAAAAAGTAACATTATCTAACTAAAACTATGTCCCTATTTTATAATATATATAGTAAATATATCACATACTAGCAATGAAAAGATTTCCAGAGGCCGCAAGAAGAGATGCAAATCCGATAACAAAGCCAAAAAAAAGCCACACACGCGCTGTTCGTGGGCCCATACCGTCCCCATTGTACGTTACACCACGTACCTGCAAGTTTTAATATCAAAATGATGATAATACAACATATGTTCGATCCGAATAAAACATGAATAAAGGGCATCAAAGGTAATTATTAATATTAAGGTATCAGTCTTTTTTTAACGCGACGTTTTTGTACATACTGTAGGTACTAACCCCGAAGCATAGCCGGATTTAGATAATAAGTAAAGAACAGCTAAAAAACGTTAAAAGAAATAACAAAAAGGATTAGTTGCAAACACCTGAATGAAAGTTTCATAGCAGTATTAATAATTAGAGAAAGAGAAATCAGAAGCTCCAATTTATCCTCAGTCTCTTTATTGTCTGTTTCAAGTAATACTTGAAACTTTTTTTTATTTAAAAAGCAATAAAACAAATATTTTGGAAAAATTAACGTTTCCTTGCCTTAAAATTAAATCAAACTAAACTTTTTTATACTCGCGAAAACGCTGTCCGTCATATTTATGATATCATTACAATGAAGAACAATGCCATCTAACGATCGATTACGAAATAAATATATGTAAATAAGCAATGAACAGCGCCATCTGGGAATTTGATTTATAATTAATACGCATATCTTTTTGACTGCTGTCGCCATAGTGTCATCGCACAATGGCGGGTCGTGTTTCAAGTCACGTGACACGCAGACAAAAAAATCACTACTTTTAATTTTAAGATATTAAGACAATCGTGACATTTTAAGACACAAAATAAGAATGTCTATGTTTATTATGATGTAAATTTTTACTACCGAAACTACCTATTGTGCCGCTCCGCACTCTTGATTGGTTCACTAGCATACTCTGGTGCCAATGTAACCAATCGAGAGTAATGTCGATCAGTCGTGATTGTGTTCGAGAGTAAGGGGATCTTTTGAGAGTAAGTAATGAGGAAGTATTTTAAGAAAAAAAAGGAAGCACTAAAAGCACCTCATTAGAGGGGACTCTACCAAAAGTTGATTTTGCAGGAAACGAATGGACCAAATATACTCATTTCCGTTTCTTTTAACTAACATGTTAAAAAACTGAAAATTGCCAAGTTTGAAACTTAAATATCAATACAAATACGAAAAAGTATAAATAGAACATGAGGTGTTTATTGAGTTTTGAAAATTAATTTACTTTTATACATGAAAGAAAACCGCAAGTGTTGCCATGGAGAAATCAAGAAAATACCGTAGTGACATTTAGTTTGATTTCGGGAAATAATACTTTTTTTAAATACTTCCTCATTATAACATTAATAATGAAGCGAATCACCTACCAGCCCTGCGATTCTGTAAAAATCCAAACTCGAATTCAAATTCACTCAGGTGTCCAAAATCACTCCGGCATAAGTGATTTCGAACACCTAACACGAACGTTTCGTGGCATAAGTGTAGTTGATTTCAAAATGACATAGGAATGGAATATCTGAGACACGTATATTCAATAAATTTTGTTTTGTTTTTTTATACAAAAAAAAAGAGGTGAATGAGGAAGTATTTATAAAAAAAAACATTAGTTCCTGAAATCAAACTAGATGTCGCTACGATATTTTCTTGATTTGTCCATGACAACCCTTCCAACGATCCATTACAATGTCCACGACAAAGTAAATTAATTTTCAAAACTCAATAAACGACTCATATTCCATTTGTACTTTTTCGTATTACAGAATGGCAGGACAGCCCGGAGATTCTGTAAAAAAAGTCTAACCTGTGCATCTGATATAGAGTTGACCATAATCAAGGATAATGTAGCCATCAAACCACAGAGGTGTGCAAACTTAACACTATTGTTATACATGACTTCAGCATCAATAATAAACCACCAACCTGTGAAAAACTGTCAAATCATTATTATATTTCAT